AGGGATCGTGCGTGCCGGTTGTGGCGTGCGTGCGTGCAAATGCTTTGCGTAGGATGAATATGGCCATCAGATGGCGTCGGCGGATTTGTTCATTCCCTTCTCGCGTAGACTACGCAGAGTAACAGCGAAACGCATACATCTCGTTCTTAAAATGACACACCTTAAAATTGACTACGTCTCACGAAATTTTCTATAGTATATATTTGTAAAAGAATTTGTTGCGATATTTTCATGAAAAGGAAGTAGTAACGGGTGGTAAATGTACCTCAGATTCTTACGCTGAATAAGAATTAAATCAAAAAAACAAACTGTGGCAATTTGAATATTATTATCACGACTTAAAATGCTTGCTATGGGCTATGTATGAGTCACGAGTGTTTGTTCACATCGAAGCGGAATAGCAAAATAGGAAGTAGATAAGCAACAATGTAATAGCATAAAATAGTGAGCAGAAATCACTTACATTTTGTGAAGAAGTGGACATAATTTTTTTAGGCTTTTACTGTTTACGGTGACGTAATCACTTTAAGAGTTTTAAGAGTGTGGTGGAAATAAAGCAAGAGTTACTTACTCACTCCTCAGCATTAAACGACTGAGCGAGTACGCAACCATGAGTTCAGGGCAAGCAATTTCCATTGACTACCGATAACTGAACCCATTGAATTGTCCTAGTAATTAACTAGTGGCCTCGTCATACTGCCTCTGTACAATAAATCACGCAGATCGTCATGAGCATTCAGGCTCTTGAATTATGTAATGCGGTCTATTTCCATAAAACTATTCTCAACATTCTGATGGGCTCTGTGCTGTCGACTTATTTCGGGCAATAGTTTTGTAATGAAAATCAAGTCAATGTAACGTACTACGATGCAAGGTAATACGATACAAGCTTACACTTGATAAATCATGCAGAAATTATTTATAGTGGCGGTCATGTTCCTGATTATGCATTTGGCATTAAATATGGCCAGCTTTTTAATCGTAAAGCCACAACAAAATAACAAATTTCACACTGGAGTACTCTTGAATCAAAAAGGTAAGCGCTCGCTGTTATTTGTCATTTAAAACAACATCGCCGGAGCGACCGCACCTGCCTCCTGATGCAGGAGCACCCTCGTTAGCTGCTAGCAACGACTCTGGCTGTGGGGGCCGAAATGCTGAAACATTGCAGACGTACTGACTAGCATTAAATGTTGATCGTGGCTACAAACGGGCCCGACGTACTGCAGGGCCCAATCAGCGAGTGTTAGGCATGCAAATCACGCGTCAGTCGTTGGGCGACCTGCACACGAACTGAAGCTGCAGTCGCTTCCAAACGAGTCACCCCGTCTCGCGTGCACTGCCGAGCGTCGCATGGCGCCCCTCTATGGGGTGGAAAATGATCGATGTGTGTCACACGAAGAGAACTGTGGACCCACTCTGCCTCGCTCAAGAGAGTGACTAAAGCAACGCGCGCAACATTGATCAATCACTCGAGTGGAACAGCCTAAGGGGCGACGGCTAACTGGCACGCAAGAGCACAAAGGTAGGCGATGTCCGCCTATAAAGGACGTCGCCGCTTACTGCACATCATTATGATGACGTGCACGATCATCTGGGTTGCCCGTCGTTGATCCATCGTAGAAGACTTACTGTTGTCATAGCTGACAGAACCTAATTAGTTGACCTGCTAGTGATTCTAGGCCTCGTGTCAACGGGGAGAGCCAGCAGGAGATACAGCCCCTCGAGCGTGTGCCATACGAAATACTATATGCTAAAGTGAGGGCGGAACGATGACAGTAGTGTCGTCAGCAAGAAGTTAAGCCAAATGCCACACTGAAATCCTGCTGTTTAATCCTACAACAGAACATAACAAACGCATTCTACCTAGCATATTTTCATGATTTGTTGATTGCTTAAGTTTTCTTCCTCTCTCAAAGAAATGAAATCCAATTAGAGATACTCTACGCCCTAGTCTATCCTCGCTCAGGGCTTTCTCTTTGGCAATATCGGCCTCCGCACACAAAATCGAACGAAAAACGAAATTTAATATAATGTGGTCAGGGCACATAACTTCGTTCGGCACCTTAATTGAGCTGTTATCTCTAAGAAAGTCGCGTAGAAAGTCATAATTGTGGGATTTTCTTGTAGGCAGTAAAATTTGTTCATAGAAGCGACTGCAACAAATTCTGTTCTGCTGAATTAATTCGACGATCGATCACGGTCTGCTGTACTCACTTGTCGGTCCGCTGAAGGCGACGGGATGCAGTAGTTAAGTTCAAGTCTGGCAATGTTTCCCAGAAGCATAGAACGATGCCGCTCCGTAGGCCGCATCCTCAGCTGGGCGCACAAGATGCCATCGCGTCTCTTCTGCGCGCGTGCCGCTGAAAAACATCACCAATGGCAACTGATGCAGCCGCGAAGCACGACAGAACGCTGCATTGTTGCGCAAACTTTCGCGCGTGAAAACCACGTCGTTTCACAACCACGGCGCCACCTACCTGCTTTAAAAAGGTCAGGGCTGGCGGCATTGATGAATATGTGCGTGCGGAAGAGATCGCCGAATCGCTCGCCTTGCCGGGGCTGGAATGGCAGCGCGGTGTGTAGAGGTGAAGACCTCCTGCGGCAGTTAGATGTACTGCCTAGAGCATCACCTGGTGAGAACCCAAAGATGGTCAATGAGGCAGAAATAGCTGCGCAAAATGGTTCCGTTTCACGGGGCTAAAACGCCTCAGCTGGAGAATAAATAACATGGGTCTAAGATTAAAACAAAAATCTTTTGTACGCTTTCTGGCGATTAACAAGCGCACTCTCCCACTCATATGAAAGGATTCTTGACAATAAGGAAGGTAGTGGGTGGAGTTCAATAAGGCATTGAACCCACCACACGCCATACCATCATCTTGCCTGCCGTTCCCGAAATTGGAAGTCGTAGTACATTACAATACAGGTAGCTCTCTGCCCAATTGTTTATAACAACCAAAAGTTGCTCGAACAAAGGTGTAGCTCACGTATCCGTCGCTGCTGGGCCGGCGCCTCTCATTTGGCAAGCTCCCTGAGCGTGGAGAAGGACCGCCGAGGAAGTTAGCTGTCACAGATGCGCGGTCGCGTGTTCAACGGTCAACAAGGCTCTGCATGCATGCCGGTCTGCCTAGTGTGCCTGTAAAACGCTAAGCGTCGGCAGGAACGCGTTATCAAATCATCGTACATGCGAAGCACGCCAGGATGTGTAATATATACAATATACAGGGGCGTGGTTACAGGATTTTGTAGCAGAGGGGGTGGGGGGTGGGAGGTGGGGGGGGGGGTGTACGTAACAGTAACCTCAAACTTGGCGAGCACGCGAAGGGGGGTCTGGGGGCCCCGGCCCAGAAAAATGTTTGAAATTAGACGCGCACTCAGAATGCATTTCTGGCCGAGAAGGGGGTGGGGGTCCGGACCCCCATAAGACCGCCCCCCCTTTGTTCACGCCCTGATATATCCGTCAAACTTATTTAGGTTTGAGTACGTGCAGGTGAGCACACGATTATGTGTGTGTGTGCACGAGGATGTATGCAGCGTGTCACGGCACGAGCATGCACGGCTATGCGTGTGTATCCATATTTTCAGAGCCTTCAAAATGTAGACGGCTAGGACGACAAACGTAAGCAACTCACTGTTCCAAACAGTAGCGATTTATTCAGTTGAAATTCTATGTCGCCTTTCCAAAAATTAACATCTCTCCAATGCCCTATACCGGCTAGCTCTGAAAAAGAATAGTACACTCTGTTAATTTTTGTGCAGTGAATATAAAATAATACAGATCTTTTACGTTGATATTTTTCATGGTTACAAGTGAATTCATACACACTAAAGTAATCTGGAAAAATATTGACAGTTTCACTAATAAGAAGTATTTATCTTATCTTATCTTATCTTATATATATATATATAATATAATATAATATATATATATATATAAATAATAGATAGAAATAGATAGATAGTAGAGTAGGGAGATGGAGAAAAATAGAGATAGGGGGAAACAAACAGATAGATAATGATGGGCTATATATTTACTCAGCAAATGGCTCAAGAGTACTATACCTTGTTCAATCTAAGCATGAATCCCTCATTTGGCAAGATAGGGTGATCTCTCGTGTCATATACTACTGCATGCTGAAAAAATAAATTATATATTATTAAATTCGTATATTATAATTTAATAAAATTATTATACTAGTTACTGGCAAACCCGCAGCGTGCAAAAAACTGGCCCTTATCAAACACTGGTAGTTTCAGTAAAGAAAGACGACTTTCTAAAGCCTAGCGCAGACTTGCGACTTTCATGGGCAACTCGGCTCGATTCTAGAATCCGCAGCCGAGTTGATGAAGCAGTCGGGGCAAGTCTGCGGGAACGTGCAACTGCCAACTCGTAGCGATTCTGGTCGCTGCAACAGTGCAAGAAATCAACAGGTTTGATTTTTCTTAGCAATCGTCGTCGATCGCAATCGCTTCTAATTGCGATGTATGCGGGTAATATAAGTCGATTGGAAAGACAATAGAAAGACAATGGAAAGACCAAAAAACAATAGAAAGAAGCGACTGCTGTTGCTTGCATGCGCACACACGGTGAAGCGTGCGACCGATCGCATGCGGTTGCAGGTTGCAGCAACGAGCAACCAAGAGTCGCAAGTCTGTGCTAGGCTTAATGCTTCAGCATTATACAGATAGACAGTCAGCTTGAAGGAAGACACCGAATAGAAATATAGGGCATAGTGCAAATTTTAACACAGCTTGCAGCTGACCAAAACATTACACTCCAACTATCTCTATAAGAATCCGAATAGCGAGTAGAACAGTTTAATCAGTGCAGGTCATCGTAACAGGTACTAACAATGGAATTTTAGACTATTATGTGCAAAATAAAATGCATCAAACTATTGCGTTCTTCATTGCTCTACATGATTAGATGACTATGTTATACTAACTACCTTTTATAAAAAATATGAAAACAAAGAGGACGACTGCAGACTTGCCATTGTTGCAGCACATAGAAAGTCAACATCCACAGGTAAACCTGCATGCAAAAATTCCGATGAAGCAACACTTACATGGAGCGCAGACTTGAGTGAATGGCCGGCCTCTTGCCTCACTGCAAACGATGCCGTGTTGTTTAGACACCGTATTTGCCGCCACACACCTTCCCACTTCAGAGTGTGGTAGAGACCAAACACCGACTGAAACTGAAAAGCGCACAAATTACTGTCGGCGTGCGACCCCGCAAATGAAATCTCATCTGACCCGCAACAAGTTGAGCATAAGCTAGCGACTAGTGGTGGATATCATCAGACATAAACTTTATCATTTCGAAAGGTAACAGGTAGCTATGGCCAAGCATTACTATCACTGCATGCAAATTATTATTGGTGCTTACGGACAGATCAGTGCTGGCTCCCAGGTCTGATTCCATGTAGCTACTCCATGGCCACTCTCCTCCACTTTTTCCTATGCCTGCTGTGAATCTATATCAAACAAAATACGTATATGCACACTATCTGCAACTAAGCTGTTGCTGCTAGAGCTATAAATCTATGCTTTATTTAAATACCTAAATGTTTATTAATAACAATTTTTGTCTAAAAACATCTTGTTAGCTGATAAATCTCAAATGCCACAGTTAGAACTTGATATACATTTAATTCTAGGCTTCTATTAAAGAAAACCCACTACCGTATTTAATATATAAGTAGTAACATATGGCAGTATATGTGGATATAGTGGTAATATTACACATATTAAAGTGAAGACATTGTACAAGACAAATAAACCTACATATGCTTATATACCTATAAATAATTAATATATACATATGTATGTGTGGACGTGCTTGCATGCATGCGTGCGTGTGTGACCATACCTTGCTCCTGGGTTTCGAAGGAATGGCTTCATGAACACTAGATTGAAACCTTGTGTTTTTCTCGAGCCGTAAGTATATTCTCCAACCAACTTCTCACCCCGTCCCAGCAAGTTCGGCAGCCGAACGCCAGTCACCTAAATAAAAAATTTGTTTGAATAAATTCCAACTAGACCTACAATGTTTCTCTTTGCACAAATCCAAGCATTCTCAAATGCAATGTCTCAAAACAAATTCTCTCGAAACAAGCTTCACGCGCATTCCATTTCACACATGTCGCCATCGTTGCAAATTGAAACGGTAACTTTTATGAGGCTTTCATGGGTCGAAATCCTAAGGGGCCCGCGGGCCCGATGCCCATATTTTAAAGCTCGGGCCTGACATTTCTAGTACTAGCAAGCCCGACGGGCCCGTAGAAAATCTACGTGCACGTTCTATTGCTGTAGTGCAGGCCAGCCAACAGTTAAAAAAAAGTCCCGAGAGTGAGGACACCAGGGAGGACAGTGAGAATTTTGACAGCTCATTAGTAGTCACTGAATATGTTCTTTGTATTACTGTAAATAAGCCATTGTCAAAAAGCCATTGTCTTTTCTCTTTTTTTCTGCGGTATCTGCAGAATGATGCGGGCCTGTAATTAGGCTGTGGGGCCTGTAAAATCCCTTACCTACAGGCCCGGCTGGCCTGTAAATTTTCAAATTAATTTCTACCCCTGGTCTTTCCCCATGTCGGTGAAGACAGCTGCCACTCACCACACTGCCCTCATTGTTTCCGACGCTTGTGTGTATACCGCCGCCAATCCGACTGTACTCCTCCACGATGAAGCTCACCTCCACCCCGTCGCTGGCACCACCCTCTACAACATGGAGTGCCGATGAATTATTATCGTGGACAGATGCATTGACAGCTTAATGGGCAATTTAGGACATCTTTCTCAACAAAAAGTCAGAATAAACATCTATATATATATATAGAGAGAGAGAGCGAGAGATAGATAGATAGATAGATAGATAGATAGATAGATAGATCGATCGATAGATGGATAGATAGATAGATAGATAGATTGATAGATAGATAGATACTAGATAGATAGATAGATAGATAGATACTAGATAGATAGATAGATAGATACTAGATAGATAGATAGATAGATAGATAGATAGACACGCACGCACGCACGCACGCACGCACGCACGCACCACACACACACACAACATA